ACACACACACACACAGAGAGAGAGAGAGAGAGAGAGATCATTGGATTAATTGTCTATGGAGATTTTCAGTCCTCCGGGTCATGGTTGTCCCAAAGGTGCTTTTTTTTCTGGAGGCAACTGGGCTTTGTTTTTCTTTGAAGACGTTTTGCTTCTCATCCACGAAGCTTCGATTCTGAACTGAAGAAGCTTCTTGGATGAGAAACGAAACGTCTCAGAAAAAAGGACAGAAAAAAGAAAAAAAACAAGAAAGTTCAGTTGCCTCTTGAAAAAAAGCACCTTTAGGAGAACCATGACCTGGAGGACTGAGAATCTCTACAGACTTTTAGCTATACAATTTGGGGTGATCACCCTTTCAATGGTGTGAGAGTTAGGAATGGATTTCCAGAGAAAGAAAAAATTGCAGACTACAGGAACCAGTGACCCTGAGGACACAGATAAACCTCCAAGTGGCCTCAATGACCCTCTGAAAGAATGCAAATGACCAGCTGTCTGCAAGGAATATCAATCTTTCCATTCCCCACTATCCAGTCAGAGCTGGAGAAGCTTCTTGGATGAGAAGCGAAATGTCTTCAAAGAAAAACAAGCAAGTCCAGTTGCTTCTTTAAGAAAAGCATCCTTGGGACATTGGATTAATTTAGCAACCACCTTTAAGAGAGTTCTCGAGCCCAGTCACTGATTCCTCCTATCAAATATATGGTCCACCATCAAGATGAAGCTTCCAAGAACAGAAACAAAAAAAGCCTCGGAAGTTACAAAAGCTAAACCCTAATCAAGGATTATTCAGATAAGCTCACAGTGTCTTAGGAAGGAACAATCCTTCCAGATATGCATAAAATTATGCACAATTATTGGATGATTGCCACTGGAGTCTAAATGGGTATGCAAAAATATCTCCCCAGATCCAACCCAACATCTTAAAAACTACTAAACCACACCGCCTCTTCTGTAAACAATCCACAATGGAATTGTTTGGTAAAGAACCAAACTTCCACATTGTCTGAATGAAAGTGACAGCTCTGCAATTTTGCATATATTGCAGAATAGGTCCTACCATCTTTAAAGTTATTAAAGGAAAATCTCTACCTGCCTACCTGCCTACCTGCCTACCTGCCTACCTGCCTACCTGCCTATCTATCTATCTATCTATCTATCTATCTATCATCTATCCATCCATCCATCCATCCATCCACAATCCATCATCACCGCCACCAAAGATACAGGTAGTCCTCAATTTATGACCACAAATTTCCATTGTTAAGTGAGATACTTGTTAAGTGAGATACTTGTTAAGTGAGTCTTGCCCCTGGGTTTTCTTGTCCCAGTTGTTCAGTGAATCCCTGAAGCCATTACGTTAGTCACACGGCTTCCCCATTGATTTCACTTGTCCAGACGTCGCAAAAGGGAAATCACATGACCTTGGGACACAGCAACGGTCGTAAGTATGAGCCAGGTGCCAAGCATCTGAATTCTGATCACATTGTGATGACCCAAGGGGGCGTGGCACAAAAGCAACGAAGTCACAAAAGTTGGTAAAGTCCCTTTAATTCCTCCAACTTGGCCCCCAAGGTCCAGTTATCATCAGTTGAAGAAAAAAAACTCTCCCAAGAATTGTTTTTAAAGGAAAGAAACTCAGTTCAAACCCAAAGTACATATAGGTTATAAATAAAAACCAACACAAACCACGCTGCAGCAATTAACGAGACAAAGCAGGATAAGGAATTTAAGACGTCAAAACACACACGTTTGGGAAGACACCAGAACCCAGATAAGACTTGACAAACCAAAATAATTCACGCTTTGCTTCCAGCAAGGTGCTATGCGCAATCATCCTTTATATCCTGTTTTCCCAGCTGCAACTAATGAAGGGAATCGGGGCCTTTTTCTCCCCCGTAACCCATGTTGTTCCCTTCTCCGGTCCTCCCTGCGTGGATGAAGAGGGGGTGGCCCTGGGTCTTCCTCTGAATGCCTAGCCGGATTGTGCCCTTCCCCAGTTTCCTCCACAGCCAGCGGAATCACACTCCCACTCCGTCAGCTGTTTGACCTCCCCCTCGGAATCAGATTCCAACAGGGGCATGACACAAGTGATCATGGGGGATGCTACAAAGATGGTAAGTGTGAAAAATAGACGGAAGTCAGTGCCATTGTAGCTTTGAACGGCCACCAAATGAAATGCTGTAAATGGACAACTACTTGTTCTTATGCTCTTAAACAAGGTCAAATGAACTTAAGCTAAGCAGCTGCATATTTGCATGCCTGATGACATCAGCACCATATAAATGAGGCCATCTGCATAATTCCCCTCGTTTGCATGATGACATCGTGAGGCACCAGATTTCACTAACTCCCCACCCTCTCTAAACAAGAAACTCATGCATGCATATTTTAAGTTTCAAATGCCTGGGGAATCTCTTACGGACGGCCACAGTACGAGCTGTCTCCAGACCAGACCAGAAAGCTTGGGGGAAACATGGTTTCCAGCTGCAAATAATCAATATCAGCTTTTTTAAAAAGAGACATAGATTCAGAAACTTGGAGGGACACCTCTAAAGCTGCTTTAAAACCCTCAGTTTGTCATGCATGAACATATTTTAGGGGTGGGGGAAAAATTATAACCCTTCAATTATCAGGGTACAAACAATACATTATCTCCAGACTTTCTTGAAGCATACACACGAAAAGGCCTCTTACAGCAAGGGTGGGAAAACATGTAGCCCTCCAGATGTTGATGAACTTCAATTCCCAACAGTCCCAGGCAACCGCCTATCAAAAAAGGATGACAGAAACTCGAGTTTGGCAACATCTGGATGGCAACTGCTTCTCCATCTTGACATAAGAATCCAAGGGTTCCTCCAAATTATTATTATTATTTTTTTTTAAAAAATCCTTTCTTCTCTTAACTCTTTTGGAAGCAGGGGGAAAGCCAACTAAATTCCAGATGTTCAGGAAAACACATTTGCTATTTTTGCAAATTGGGGAAGAGAGATTCAAACAAATACCTGCTTGATCATGGGGCCGTATTTTCCCACCCGCGCATTTTGGCACCTATTTATTCACACAAAGTAGCCCATCTGCAAAGCACTTTGCAAACTCCTAGGAGGAGCAAAGCAAAGGTCTTAAAACTTATTGCAAGCCTTAACAGCAGTTTTGTAGAAACAGCGTTTTTGGCACTGTTGTTCTATCGCAGCCTTCTCCAACTTGACATTCCTCTGATGTGTAGGATTAAGCTCTCATCATCCTCAGCCAGCGTGAAACTCAAAGTGATGGGAACTGTAGTCCTGAATTTACAGCAGTTCATTTAGTGACCCTTCCAAGTTATGGCACTGAAAAAAAAAGTGACTTAGGATCACTTTTCACACTTACAACCTTGTAGCCTTCCCCATAGTCATAGGATCAAAGTTCAGAACAGCCTGGCAACTGATTCATACTTATGACGGTTGCAGTGTCCTGGAGACATATGTGATTCCCTGTTGTGACCTTCTAACCAGCAAAGTCCAGGGTGAAGCCAGATTTCACTCAACAACCCTGTGACTAACTTAACAAGTGCATGGATTCGCTTAAACCTCCTCCGTGGCAAGAAAAGTCGCAAAATGGAGCAAAACTCACTTAACGTCTTGTCTCACTCAGCAACAGGGTTCAATTGCGGTCGTAAATGGAGGACTAACTGTATATGTGAAACTAACAGAAGACAGAATCCAAAAGGTGAGGCTGAAGGCTGCTGGAAATGAAAGGGAACCTTCAACAGGGAGCTACATTCACGAGCCACGTTTCATTCAGCCTTGTGGATTCAACCACTGGCTGCCCTTGTTGGTGGGAACTCAGCCTGCAAACACGGTTTACAAGCCAGCCACGGTTTCAGTCGCACTGCACCGCCAAGAGGCCAAGCAAGCGAGTCAAGAATAAGCACGAGCAACTCAGCGCAACATCTGGAAGATCAGAGGAGACCTCTTCCCTTTCTATTCTCCCCTTTGCAGGGGCCCATCAAGAAGTCCCAGCCAAAGAAGACAACACAGAACTGGAACTGGCCCCCTCCAAACACTCTCGGGAGCTTTCAGCAGCCAAGCCACAAGGAGAAGGACCAAAGGGGGCATCACCAGCCAAGCCACAACAGGGGGGAAAGCAACCTCCTTTTATCCTGGTCTCTTGTAGGACTGGGGACCTTATTCTCTTGGACTAGGCTAAAGGAACTGAAGTCAAAAACCTAGGAAGGGCATCCAAAGGGTCGAGAACTTTAATAAGGAGCAGCAGCTCAGAGGAAACCACCTTCCCATGTCAAGGATGATGGGAGTTGTCCTTCCCATCGTAGGTGGGTACCAAACTTTAATAAGGAGTTTAGTTTACTTTACTTTTATTGTCATGGCACCTCTTACAGACGAAATCAAAGACCGAAATCAAACCCCATTTTCAGTGCACATTATGACCATGAAAATAAACACAAACACACCTCCTTCACACTTAACACACATGGAAGTGAAAAACCATCTTCCCCCTGTCAAGGATGATGGGAGTTGTAGTTCCCATCGCAGGAGGGTACTGAACTTTAATAAGGAGGAAACCGTCTTCCCTTGTCAAGGATGATGGGAGATGTGGTCCCCATCGCGGGAGGGTACCAGAGTAGGGGAAAGTACAGAGGCAGTTGAGGATACAAACAGGGTGAGCAACCCTTAAGATGTAACTCCCATTCCCGGGCAGCTCAGCAAAAGTCATGCGGATTCCGGCGTCGTTCCCGCCACACACACACACACACACATAATTCAGAGACCCTTCCTCTGCCTCCCACATTCAGAAAGAGACAGGAGCCCCTTGGCCCAAACCTCCTGCCCCCCCCCCGAAAAGAAGGGGGAGAGGGGGGGAAAGCGCCCCCCTCTTCTCTCTCCCCAACGCGCCCTAAAGATTACCCGGCCGAGCCATTTGCAAGCGAGCGCTCGCGAGCGGCTTGGTCCGCTCCCCTCGAGCCCGGACGGAGTTGCCGAAGGAGCGGGGGGGGGGAGGCAAAGACTCACCCTGGGGCCGGACCACTTGCCAAATGCCCGATGGGGGCAGCCCTGCGGGATCCCCAAGCCGCCGCCCTCAGAGCCTTTGGGGTTCGCCGGCCATTCCTCCAGCCCTTTCCGCACCAGCGAGGCGTTCACGGCGAAGCTATCACCTGGAGGGAGGCAGAGCAAAACGGAGGGGAAACGTGGGTGGGGGGAGCCCCCTTTCCTCCCTTGACACACACCCCAAGCGTCCCACCCCCCACCCCCACCGCCTCGCAGCCTCCTTCCACCCTTAGGGGGACGGGGACACCGGGCAGCACACACACACACACACCCCAAAAAAACCGGCCACTCATTCGGGAATGCGGCGCGCAAAGTTTTCCTCCTCTGCTCCAGCAGCTGCTCCGAGGGCGGACGCGCTCCCAAGCTCCTGGCCGGGAAAAGCTGGGGAGGGTCCGCAACCCGGAGAGAGAGAGAGAGAGAGAGAGCCCCCCCCCCCCCCTCAACCCCCCCCCCCTCCTCTTACCTTCGGGGCTTTCTCGAGGTTTGCAAGCCGCAGCTAGAGGAGATCCAGTGGGGCCAAAAGCAGAGAAGAGGGACGGATTCAAAGAAAGGGAAGGGGGGGGAGAAAAAAAAGGGGGATGGTTAGATCCCATCTGGGGCTTCGCTTCTCCAGAGCTGTTCAGCTCCCCTCCCTCTGCCCTAGATCTCTCCGGCGCTCCCCAGTCCGGCTCGTGGGATACCCCCCCCTTCCACCCCCCCCCCCCCTTTTCCACCCACTCCACCCCGCCAGCAACTTCGCAACTCCTCACCGTGCTTGGAGTGAAGTTTCCCCATCGCTCTGCCCGGCTCGGCGCCCGCGATGGCATTGGAGAGGGTGACGGCCGGCGCTGGGGAAGGAGGGAGAGTGGTGATGGGTGGGGTGGGGGGGTGTCCCGCCTTCTCGCTCCCTCCGCCCCGGCGATTTGGGGGAGAGCGGGGAGGGGTCCCCTAAGTCAGGCAGCGGGGAAGCTGGCTCCGAGTCCCGGTTGCAGCCGGCGGCTCCTTGGCGGCGGCGACGGCGACGGCGGCAGCTCCTACTCGCCCTCGCCCCGTTTTAGCAACCCACGCGCTTCCTTCCTCGCCCTGCGGGGCTTACTCGCGAGGAGGGGGCAAGAAGGCGAAGGGGCGAGTGGCGGCCGCTTCTTCCATCCGGCGGCGGCGGGAGCAGCCCGGAGAGACCGGAGCGCTCGGGCGGCGGCGGCGGCAGCAGCAGCTGCGCGTCTGTCTCTCTGTTTCTCTTCTTTCTATTCCTCTCTCCCTCCCTCTCTCCTGCTATTCGACTCTCTCCCTCTTCTTTCCCTTTCTCTCTCTTTTTCCCTCCCTCTCTCTCTCTCTTTCTGTCTCTCTCTCTTTCCTGCCACAAGAGTCTCTCTCTCTCTTCTTTCCCTCTCTTTCCCTTTTTCTCTCTTCTTTCCCCCTCTCCCTCCCTCTTTCTGTCTCTCTCTATCTCTTTCTGTCTCTCTCTCTCTCTCTCTTTCCTGCCACTTGAGTCTCTCACTTTCTTCTTTCCCTCTCTTCTTTCCCTTTCTCTCTCTTCTTTCCCCCCCTCTCTCTTTCTGTCTCTCTCTCTCTCTCTCCTACCACTCGCCCCCCCTTTCTATTTCTCTCTCCCTCCCTTTGCTGCTTCAGTATTCGACTCTCGTTTATCACTCAAGTCTCTCTCTCTCTCTTCTTTCTATTCCTCTCTCCCTCTCTCGTCCCACTCCAGTCTCTCTCTCTCTCTCTGTTCTTTCTTTCCCTCTTTCCTTCTCTCTCTCCTGCCACTCGAGTCTCTCTCTCTCTCTCCCTTCGTCGCCCCCCCCCGCCTTTTTTCCCTTCCCAAAGAGAGAGGCGGTTACGACTTTCCTGCACCCACCAGGGGCCGTGATTGACACCTCATGGAGATTAGACCACTTGCAGGCAACCTCTGGATGCCGATTGGAGGCGGGCGGCACATGAAAGGGCTCTTTTGGAGTCTCCAAAAAAAAAAACAGGAGGGGGAGGGGGGGGGGGGGGGGGGGGAAGCAGCCACCCAGCCCTCCTGAAATAAAAGGAGCGGCGGCGGCGGCGGCGGCTTTGAGGTATTTCATTTCCAGCCAGGCTCAGGCAGCAGAACCCAGAGTCACGGAGGAAAAGAAGGAAGGAAGGCAGCAGGCAGGGAAGGAGGGAAGCGCCAACTCGCCGCCCCGGCCGCCTGCGCTGGAGACGGCAGGGTTTTTCTCCTCCTTTTGGTTCCCTTCTCTCCCCCACCTCCCCTCCGCCAGTGGGGATCGGGCAGGGCGCACCCCGGTTGCTCTTTGGCCCGAGGGGCTGGTTTGGAAACTCGCCCCCTTTCCTCCCCTCCCCGTGCGGAGCGCAGGGTCGTGGGAAGAACATCTTCTCCGGTCTCTTTGCCCGCTTCTCTGGCAGACTTTTTAACAGAGTTGGAAAGGACCTTGGAGGTCATCTAGTCCAGCCCAAGCAGGAGACCCTTACACACCTACACCATTTCTGATAGATGGCAGTCCAGTCTCTTCTTGAAAGCCTCCAGGGATGAAGCTCCCCTAACTTCTGAAGGCAACTTCTTTTTCCATGAGTTGATTGTTCTCCCTGTCAGAAAATTCCTCCTTATTTCCAGGTTGAATCTCTCCTTGTTCAGTTCCCATCCATTATTCCTTGTCTGGCCTTTAGAAAATAGCTTGACTCCTTCCTCCTCCCTGTGGCAGCCCCTCAAATATTGGAAGACTGCTCTCCTGTCTCCCCTGGTCCTTCTCTTCCCTAGACTAGCCAGGCCCAGTTCCTGTTACCGTTCTTCATATGTTTGGAGAAAAGGGGCTCCCCAGTGGGGAGATTCTCTAGACTGTGAAATCCTGGTTCCTTGAAAGTGTGCAGAGTTTGTAAGGTAAAAGCCAGGACTGAAAATTTCCCAGTAATCGTGGCTTCTAACTCTGGGACTCAACTCTATCCCAGGGTTTATAAATCACAAGGGTTGGGCTGACGAGTAAAGCTAAGTCATCATTTGAACCACTTAGATTCCAGATGGATAAACCATGGTTCACGACGAAGTTGGATTCGCCCAACGCACAGAAGAAAGAAATCAGGTTGCAGCCTAGCACGGTATGTAGGACCAGAATAGAATAGAACAGAACAGAACAGAATGGAATGGAAAATGGAATGGAAAATGGAATGGAAAATGGAATGGAAAATGGAATGGAATGGAATGGAGAATAAGAATAGAATAGAATAGAATAGAATAGAATAGAGAATAGAGAATAGAGAATAGAGAATAGAGAATAGAGAATAGAGAATAGAATAGAATAGAATAGAATAGAATAGAATAGAATAGAATAGAATTCTTTATTGGCCTCTGGGTCTCCTTTTTGTACAAAGGGAGTATGAAAAACCAAGCAGATTTGAAATATAATTGCACCCCCCAAAAAGGCATAATTCCTTGCTAAAGGGGTGTATGCATGTACACTTCCTGCTAAGCCACAATGTGGTTTGTAGAGTGTTGTGCGACTCTACTGTCCTTGCGGGAGGGGGGAAATGACAGACTGTGACTTGTGTGGCTTTCTCCAATTTCAGCATCCTCCAGGCAGGCGGGATTTCCAAAGCCAGAAACTCTCAGCAGCAGGCCACATATCTGGAGGGCATCCTTGGCTGGCTGAGGGGAGTCCGTCAATCCTGCTAATCGTGGTTTATTCCATAAATTCGGTTCGGCAGCTCACCTGAATCCAACCGGTTTTAGTTAAATCTCTCAATCTCTGGGTATGCATAAGACTTTTGTGGCACCTTAAAGAGTGATCAATTTTACATTCACGTTGGTTGGTCTTCATCGAGAGAGAGCCAGTTTAGTCTGGTGGGTAAGGCAGCAGGCTAGAAACAAGGAGACTGTGAGTTCTAGTCTTGTCTTAAGTATGAAAGCCAGTTCGGTGGCTTTGGACCAATCTATAGGAGATTGTGAATTCTAGTCCTGCCTTAGGCAAGAAAGCTGGTTGGGTGACTCGACCAATGCTAGGAGATTATAAATTCTAGTCTTTCCTTCAGCATGAAGATCACTTGGATGACTTTGGGCCACTCATCAGGAGACTGAATTCTAGTCCCACTTTAGTCATGAAAGCTGGCTGTGTAACTCTGGACCGATCACTAGGAGACTGTGAATTGTAGTCGCACCTTAGTCATGAAAACTATCTGGAACCAGTCACTAGGGGACTGAATTCTAGTGCTGCTTTAGTCATGAAAGCTGGCTGGGTGATTCTGAACCAGTCACAAGGAGACTGTGAATTCTAGTCCTGCCTTAGTCATGAAAGCCACTGGGTGACTTTGAGCCAATTACCAGGAGGCTGTGAGTTCTAGTCACTCTTTAGACATAAAAGGGTGGTTTTGGATCAGTTACTCCCTGTCAGCCCACAAACATCAGGCCCACAATAGGGCGGCAAGCCAATTGGCCAATTCCTATCATAATCAAAGTATCAACATTTGATTGATCTGAAAAAACCCAGATCCTTCACTTTCTGGAAACATTAGGAAGAACAAAAACAATTTTCATTGATCACGATGAGGATATAACCCATTGAAGTTTCAACCTTGCTAGTTTTTCCAGTGCCACAAAATTCTTCCCCCTCCCAAAACAACTCAATTAACACAGTTGCCTTTTTCTGGAACTAGCGAGTGCATGTGCAAGCTGCAGATTTATTAAGAGAGAAACCTAAGCCAAAATATAAGTAACTCAGACAGAAACATGGAGTGGGATGTGTGTAAATATATATCACCCTCTCTTTCATCATCACCGTGGCTTAAAAGAGTGATGCATAAAAATAACCAGAGTTTAGCCTGAGCACAAGCTGGCAATTCTGGCTCAAAACGAGCAGGAGGTAAATACTCTCTCTGTCAACCTATATATTGAATAAATGCACAGTAGTTCCTGCCGAGGAATGTATCTGGGGAGGAGAAGCTAGGACCTGCCAAAACCAGAAGAAACATAGTTCTCATCCTGTTACAGAAATTTAGTCTTAGATCATCTTTTAACCTCAAAGTAGATGGATGCAAACCCCCTGAGCTACTTTGCCCTTTCAGATGCTGCGTTCACACAACCCTGTTTCCCTTTCAACTAGTACATGCCATGCTAACTGCAATTTACTGAATGAATCCAGTTGCAACTTGGGTCCTTAGCTAGTTATTCCCATTTTAAGTAAGTAGGTTGTGCAAACCCAGCCAGCCAGGATCATTACGAGCCATGATAAGTCAAGTTACTTGTCCCCATTCTTGAGGACAGCTACAGCCAGGGTTCTGTCGTGGTTAGTATGATGATGAAGCAAGGGAAATTCCCCATGTATTTCTGGGTTTGGATTGACACAACACTGTGATGACCCAGGGTGTAGCACAAAGGCAACACAGTCAGATAAGCAATAAGAGACCCTTTATCATCTCCAACTTTGCCCCCAATGTCCAGGTTACCTTCGGCTGGAGAAAAACTCTCCCAGGAACAGCCTTTAACCGTAGAAAATTCAGTCCAAAATAAGGTATACACAAACTGTAACTTAAAATCCAAACAAACCAAACTGAAGTAATTAGCTTGACAGGGCAGGAGAAGGAATTTCAGACTTGAAAGCACGGCAAAACTCACTCAGTTGGGAAGATGCCAGGAACACAGATAAGCTATCACGATACAAGATAAATTCACATTTGTTCCCAACATGCAGCTTGCCTTTTTTAATATACACTGTGTTCCCAACTGCAGCTAATGAAGGGAATCAGGGCCCTTTCCTCCCCCATAAGCCATGCAAGCCACATTGCTCTCTTCTCCGTTTCTCCCTGCATGCCCTAGGATGAAGAGGGGTGGGCCTGGGTCTTCCTCTGAACTCCCTCTCCCTTGTCCTATCTCTTCCCTGCTCTGCCCAGCCGGACTTTGCCCTTCCCCAGTTTCTTCCACAGCCAATGGAGCCACACTCCCACTCCCTGTCAGCTGTTCGCCTTCCTCCTCTGGGTCAGATTCCGACAGGGGCATGACAAACACAAACAATTACAAGCAAACATACTGCAGTGGGTACAATAGCAATAGCACTTCGACTTATATGCCACTTCACAGTGCTTTACAGCCCTCTCTAATCAGTTTACCGAGTCAGCCAATTGCCCCCAACAATCTGGGTCCTCGTTTTACCGACCTCGGAAAGATGAAAGGCTGAGTCAACCTTGAACTGGTGAGAATTGAACTCCTGGCAGTTGGCAGAGTTAGCCTACAATACTGCTTTCTAATCACTGCGCCACCACAGCTCACTGAGGCAGGACTAGAACTCAGCACATCCTGGTTTATAGCC